CGGGTCCAGGATGCGAACCACAGTCGACTACGTGGGAGTCCAGTGACATAGCCATTATGCCAACTGCTGGTCCCTCGCTGACATATCTTTAACCCTGGTTTAGGGTATCCTAAGAAAATTTTAAAATCTCTCCAAGGATATTGCAAAATTCCAAAATAAAATAAATTATAATTTACCTTATTCTAAAAAAGACATATATACTAGGTGTGCTACTTTGGGAACAGGAATTTTCAAAATAAAACAATAATAAGAGTATTACTATAGTCCAAACAATGACCAGTAGCTTTTTCCTCTTAAATTTTCATCAGGTTTAAATAAGCTATATAGTACTCAAGGGTCCAAAAACGGGCAAAATGTGCATGTTAGTATTATTATATGAGTGAGTATAAAGGAGCCAGAGGGAGGGAGGGAGACAGAGAGGTGTTTTTGGCAGGATTTGACTATTGCAGTCCTCTGCCCCAGCCTCCCAGTTAGCTAGGGTTATAGGCACCCACTCCCATACTCGGCCTGTTCAGACTAGTCTTCCATGTGACTCCAACCTCACACACCAGTACCCTACTGCTTGTGTCACTGCAGCTGGGGCCAAATATGTATATTATTTTAGAGAAAAGAGACTTTAGTAATTTATATTCCTACCCCATTCAGATTGCACTTGTAATTTCCAATTCCATGGATGGTCTTACGTCTTCTCCATTAGAAAACTGTTAGACGTGGGGAAGTGCTCCATTATCCAGGCTGTGAGATTTAAAGGCTAAAGAGAAGATGGGACTGAGGGAGGGTAGAAAACAGCATTTCTCCTAAGCCAATCACAAATTCAGGGCAGCTCTCAAAGGTCAAGATAAAGCTAAGTCTCATACAGCACCATAAACACTGTTAAGAGCTATTTGTACACAACTATATCCATTGAACAGACACAGATGCTATATTTAGGTCCTTTCCAACCTTAGGATCATGACCATGGTCAAGACTAGGCCCTGCTTGGGTAATTGAGACTGTGCCTCCAGTTAGTCAACACTAGTGTATTCATTTCCTGTTGCTCCTATAATGAATTTGCCACAAATGTAGTGGCTTGAAACACACAGTGTATTATCTTACCGTTCTGAAGACTGCAAGTCTGAAACGGTCTCACTGGACCAAAGTCAAGGTGTGGGCAGGCCTGCGTTCCTTTCTGGAGACTCGAAAGGCCAATCTGTTCCTTGCCTTTCCAGCTGCTAGAGGCCACCTGCATTCCTTGCTTCGTGTTCCTCTTCCATCTTCACGGCCAGCAATGGCTGGCTTAGTGTTTTTCACTCATTTCACTCTGACCCTGATTTTCCTTCTGTCTCCTTCTTCCACATTTAAGGGTTTTTGTGATCACATTGGGTGCACCTGGCTAGTCCATGTCAGCTATTAGCAGACTCACTTCCACCTGTGCCCTTAACGCCCCTCGCCGTGCGACAGCATATTCCCAGGTTTGTGCGTTTAGCATATGGACATCTTTAGGGGGTTATTATGCTGCCTACCACGGTCAGTATCTCAGCTAATTTGGGGTTTTCTACCCGGGGCAAGGATTCAACACCTGCTGTCAAACTGCCATCTTGCAGAAAGCATCTTCACCTTCTGGTGCAGGGGGATGGTCCAAGAACAGGGTTTATTCGTTAATTCATGGCGCCATGAAACTCCCACAGAATTTATGGAGGGCTGCATGTCCTGGATAACCATGCAAGGGATTCTACAATGAGCGAAACATAGGTCCCTACTCTTGATTATAGACTGGGGTAGTAGGGTGAAGGACTAGGGTGTAAGTGTAAGACAAATTCACATGATTATACGATTTTTTTAAAATCACGATAAGCTCAACATTTTAAAAAACGTTCAGGATGCTTTAAGAGGATTTAAGGTGTGGACTAACGTCATCCAGGAGGTCACCTTCATTTATTTTCAAATTGCCAGAGGGCACATTTGCCAGAGACAGGGAGAGGAAGAAAGCACCCCACGTTGGGGTGTGGTCACGCTGCAGTCCCTTCTCCTTCATTTCGGCATCCTGTTGGGATTTGGGGCATGCACATGCACCTGGCACCAAGGTGAAGATTTGAACTGCATGCATCCATGTGGGATCTGACTCCCTTAATCACTAGGCTTCGGGTCTGGCCCAAAAGTCTTCCCTTTGAACCTGGTGTTTGCGCTGACTGGAAAGAATGAGGCAGCGGGGAGAGGAGTTTGGGGTGTGGCATACGCATATGCAGTGATTGGAGGGAGTCTAGAGGTTTAAGGAACTGAAGGGTGGCCAGTGTGGTTGGAGAGCAGATAACTAGGGTGAGACAGTGGTACAAGGTGAAGCTATAGCAATTGGTGTCAAATCATGCCGGAAAAGTCCTGTAAGCTATGTATATGGCCATTTAAAGTACCTTGGCATTTATTTTATTATATTTTATTGAGAGGATTTTGCTATAGGGTGTGTGCGCTCACCAGACAGACAGAGAGAGACAGAAAGACAGAAAGCGAGAAATCAGCCCCCGGGGGGATAGCCACGCCAATCCCCACAATCCCTTCTCCTCCATTCTCCTCTTGGGATCTTGGGCATGCATGCACATATGCCCGGTGTGAGTTTTAAGCCACTGGGTCCGGGATTCGAACAGTGTTTGACTACATGGGAGTCCAGTGACATAGCCATTATAGCCATTATGCTAACTACTGGTTACACCCTGGCATTTAAAGTATTTGAAGGTTTTGTTTGGTTTTAAATTTTGCTAGAGGGCACGTGCATTTGCTAGAAAGACAAAAAGGGAAAGTGAGAAAGCACCCTCCCACCCCGGGGGATAGTCATGCTGCAGTCCCTTCTCAATTTCTCCTTTTGGAATTTCAGGCATGCACGCACACAAGTCCAACTTTCTTCGTTCTTTCTTTTAAGAGAGGTTTTTGCTATAGGGCGCGTGTGCTCGCCAGAAAGAGAGAGAGAGACAGACAGACAGAAAGCGAGAAATCACCCCCCGGGGGATGGCCACGCCGTAATCCCTCCTTCTCCGGTCTCCTCTCGGATCTTGGGCACGCATGCCGTAATCCCTTCTCCTCCGGTCTCCTCTCGGGATCTTGGGCACGCACGCACGCACACGAGCCCGGCATGAGTTTTAAGCCACTGGGTCTGGGATGCGAACCGCAGTCAACTACATGGAAGTCCAGCAACATAGCCATTACGCTAACCGCTGGTCCCAGCCCCCAGCGATTTTTAATCTGCTGGGTCTGGTACTCAAATCACATAGTCTGCCATGTAGAATCCAGCTGCCTTAAACACCATACTAGTCTTCTTTTTCCTTTTTTTTTTTTTTTAAGATTTAATTTTACTCACTTTTATTATTATTTCATTTGACCAGAGAGAAATTGAGAGAGAGGAAAAGTGAGAAAGCAAACCACTAGGTCTGGGACTCAAACTATGGTCGACCATGTGGGAGTCCAGTGCCTTAACTGTCATGTCACTTGGCCCTCTGACCGAGTTTTTAAAATTTCTTTCATGAGAGAGAGGAACTGAAACAAGTACTCTTGAGAATGGTGAAAGCCATCCTGTGGTCCTCCTCCCAGCTTCCCTGCCAGTCAGGATGACAGGGATGTGCTGGCCAGTGGATGTGGTCAGGCCAAGTCAACCAGGACCTGCATCTGGGCCTCCCATGTGGCCTAGTATCCCACAGTGGCACTTTATCACCTGTGGACCATGGTTGGGCTGTAAAATATCTGAAGGGTTTTAACAAGGAGGGCTGGCGGAGTTGAATGTTGACATGGTAACTTTAGCTGCCTTGTGAAAAATGGGGCACAATGAGGCTCATTGAAGGTAGCTTGGTTGCATCTAAAAACGTGATTCCATAGATGAGAGATGGAGAGACTTGGTGGAAGGGGACCACTAATTTAGGGAGCAAACCCAGCAGGACTTGGTGATGGGTTATGGGAGTTAAGGAACAACATGTTATCATGGGGGACTTAGATTTGGAGAAGCAGGGTTGGGTTTTACTAAGATCATGAGTTTGATTTAGCATATGTTAAATTGTAGATATCAAGTAGGTAGTAGAACTATATAGGTTGAAATTTAGAATCTGACTTTGAAGCTCCCTGGCATATGGATGGAATCTCTTCATCATTTAAAGCAGTGGTTCTCAACCAGGAGTGATGGTGCCACCCAAGAGACCTAAGGCAAGATTTGGAGTCAATTTTGGATATCATAGCTCAGGAAGGGGGTGTGCTACTGGCATCCAGAGGGTAGAGACCAACACTTCAATGCAGTACAGCCCCCACCACTAAGCAGCACCAGGCTCCAAATTTCAGTAGTCTGAGCTGAGAAACGTGATCCTAGGCTGGATAGAAGAGGCCCAGCCAACCAAACAGTTCAGAGCAGTAGGGACAGTGTGGCACGAGGACATCAGATGTCAGCATGAAAATGATGTGTTGATTTTGGGTGACCCCATGTAAGAACAGTTCTTACAGGAAGCGGTGGGATCAGAGCCTTTTGAGATAGGGCAGAAGAGTAGGCAAATGAGAAAATGCGGACAGCCAGAGTGGACAGCACTACAGCAGATGTAGGGAGAATGCAATGAGGTTAGCTTGTGTAATTTAAGGATTCAAGACATTTGTGCACTTGAAAATGCTAACATTCCTATTCACCAGAAGAGAGGCATGGGAATTGCTGGGATGCCAACAGGGAAGGAGGGATTGGCTGTAGGCTAGAAGGGTAGTTTCTGTTATCTGGGAAGGGAAGGTCACTCAATTCAGTAACTGCAGGGGCTCCCTTTGTCTCTAGTCTGGTGGAAGTTTTGATGGCTCAACAAGGGAGTCAGCAGCAGATTACTGATCCCAAACTGAAGATGCTCTTGAACTTTTGAAGTCAGGGAAGGGTCTGGTTTTAGGATTGGGCCAGTAAAGAAGGTATTGGGTATTCCACAATCACTAAAACAGGGATACCACACAGGGGAAATTTCTGACAAGGGCCTTTAATGAGCACGGCTTCTTTGGAATTAACAGCACTTTTCTCCCTCTAGTTTTCTTGCATGTTCTTTGGAGCAGTTTCTTCTGACAAGCAAGAACACTTCAACTACCCTTTCGATAGCCTGGCAAAAGCAAGTGACAGTGAAGAAGACAGTCACCCCACATTTTAACAATTCATGATGGCTGAATTTACCGGCTCACTTGTGCCTCAAGCATGAGTTTTCATATTCCGTGTGTAGAGGATATTGTCCCAGACTTCCCTGGAGGATGGGCTTCTGCTTTTCTAACATCATCACCTACTACACACCACCGGATCTAGAAATAGCTGCTTGTCAAATGCATGTAATTCGCTTCAAATCCATTATGCTACTTTAGAGGCAAAGAGTTTTCTG